TTCCTTCCTTCCTTCCTTTCTTTTTGTTTTCTGTCTCATCTAGCGCCAATTGTTTAAATTTGTTTTTCGTGATTCAACCTTCCCTTTTCATCACATTCATATTCCTCAATCCATCGTACAATAATCATCATTTTCCTCTGCCTTTTTCATTATCTACTAAARCCAAAACCTAACCAACCTTGATTTTTACATGGTTTCTAAAAACAAAAGAAAAGTTTCTTTTCATATGTCAACCCATCAATCAATCGATGTAAGAAGTCGTGATTTTAATGTCTATCCCATCAAATCAAAAACATCCAGTGGTCGACCATGGTTTGACCACAAAAACACCGTCAAAAATGAGGTACAAGATATAGCTATCATCCCGACGTCAGTTTTTGCACAATTGTGACGAAGACTTTTGAAGTCGTACAATCCCAGTTTCTCATTTTCCTTGTAAACCCGTGAATTTTTTAATTTTTAATTTTTATTTATTTATTTATTTATTTACTTATTTATTTTTTTAAATAGAGTTTATAGTTGTAAATCAGATTTGAAAATATGGAAAATCGAAATGAATACTCGTTCTATCAAAAATAAACCCAAGGTGGTCTTTTGTCTTTCAACCACAAATCCCAACCCAGCCTTAAAGCTGTTAATGGTGATAAAATGAAAAATGCCTCAGGGCACAGCGTTTAGCATGCGATAAACCCCCGCCACTAATTACGTCCTTACTAAGTGATATTATTTTAAAGATGGTTGGAGTTTGGGGCGCAAATGTTTCGTAAATGATTCAAAACAAATGGGTTTATAAAAACGTTTCTTTGCGTTTTGGTAATTAGTATGATCTATATCGGAATATTAGATCTATATAGGAATATTACGGTCAAATAAAGTAACAATATGTTTATTTAGAAAACTCGCACTAAGTAACAACACGAAAATAAGGTGTTTTGGTGTTCATGGAATGTTTAAATTAGAATCAATAGAGCGCTAGATAAATAATACTTTTGTAAACAGATCTGTTATATGATTTGACAGTTTTTAGCAGTCTATTGAATGCGTAGTAGCTCACTCACAAAAGAATCCAATCAGTAACAGTAGAATATATATTGCAAACCGATGGAGACAATTAAGAAATACGAAGTTTTTGTTCAAAAAAACTGCACTTTTTGCACTTTTCGGGGGGCGGGGAACGTAAGCGATTGAATGGCTATATCTATTTAGAATTGACATCGTTTTTTTCTTCTAGTGGATGTCACCGTTATTCTTCATTACTTATCGTGCAATGATCGCGCTGTACACAACAATCTGGCAGATATTAGGTGTGGTCTATCGCGTAGACGATGGTTTCAAATGGTTTATCTTCCTAACAAACTGGAGCTACACGTTTCTCAACGTCCACTTCATCATAGGTACTTTACTTCCTGCATATTATCACTGTCTGTACAACAAGCGCAAAATCGTGTCGTGTGACGCCAACGCTARCGAACAACCAAGAAACGATGAGGTTGTTGAAATCAACCTTGACAACGGATGCCCACTTAGCGAGAAGCCCGAGCTAGCTCTCCGACATCCCTGGATGTTAATAATTACTTGCAAAGCATCATGGGTTGTTTATAACATCGCAGCTAATGTTGGACTTTTGGTGACCTTGATGTATTGGTGTTTCGTGTATGTYCCTGGTCAATACGTTGATGGCTCAAATATCAACGCCCATGCGATCAATTCTGTGTTAATCGCTWTAGACATGCTGCTGTCAAGGGCTCCATTTCGTGTTTTCCATTTGATCTATCCCGTGCTATATTCATTCATATACAGTCTGTTTACTATCGTATATTGGGCAGCAGGAGGTACCAATGAGAATGGTAAACCTTACATCTATGCCATCATGAACTATGGAGAGAGTGCTGGGCTTGCTGTGTTAATGGCGGCCATGTTCGTACTTCTCGCCGTTCCGCTATCTCAGTTCTTGTTGTACGGCTTATATAGGTTTAGAATGTGGTTGGCAGAAAAGAAGACTAAATAAACGATTTACATTTAATTCATGATTAACCGTATTGCATTGAAACGAGATGTTAAGAATGAGTCATCTATGTAAGACTGCAATAGTACATATACATTTATTATCAGCAAGGGAAGGTATGTTTTTTATTGGGGGAGGGGAGGGTCACATCAAACCATAAATCCGTGGCCGTAGAGCCATAGTTAATAAGCCTGAAGCGGATTGACGTTTTAACCCCCGTCTCTAGACCATAATCCTTTTCAAATTGCTTTTGTTCTTTAATTATGACTATTGTTCCTGTATTCTCTAAGGAATCAAAAAWTTTAATATGAAAGAATTTTAAAAACCATTATGGTATAGAGTCGGGAGTAAAACGTCATCTCGCTTCAGGCTTATTATGGTAGAACCTAGCAGCCATATCATATGTGATAAATATAGATAGATATAAAGAATGAAGTATTATACATCAATCTATCGTAAGTTTACTGAAATGAACAACATGCTTTAACTCGAATTAACAGAATGGAGCAATACAACGTAAATCAGAGTAAAATTATTTTTTTTCGTACGGAACCAACATGGCAGATAGATAAACAACCYAGCTATTGTCCCTTTAAGTTAGAGTTACATCATTTGCCGTTGCCACAATCATTTGCATCTTATTATTTTAACTGATTTTGGTGTATTAAAAGATCAATGCTTAGATGAGTTGATTGCATAACAGACTCGTTTGATTCGCTGATAAATGAAAAGGGTTTACGAGGCGTGAATTAAGAATAGAGGGCTTTAAGGGTTTCCAAGTTGCACGATGATCATTAAAGGAATTCAATGAAGCAAAGGCTCTGAACTTTGGCTAAAAACAGGCAACAGGCAACTGTCTGAGAAGGACTGAAGCCTTACGAAAAACATCAGCAACCATCAGTAGCCGGAAAAGGAGCAACTTCAGTTGACTCCGATAGAGCTGCAAAATGCTATTGAAACAGGAGCTGTCTATAGAGAATTTTAAATTATCGTACAAGCGTACGAATGATTTTGTGGAGTCGAAGGTAAGTAAGGATCTTTCTCGTTCTCAGAGTTCTCAATACTTATTTACTACGAACTCTTATATATATWACCCGTACTGAATTATCTACCCGGGCCATACAGTTTTAAAAATCAACTATCTTCGATCCTCGGGCACCCCTGATGAGTTTACTTAATTTATTATGGCATTCAAAAAGATTACGGATTATTTACGGATCGGCTTTAGATATCAACTGATGTAGTGCGATAGAGTTGGTTTGTTTGTTGTTTATTTTTTGATTTTATATCCTTCTACGAGGCACAAAAAAAAACCTTAGTTTACGAACATGTTTTTTCTTTATTTTATTGTAGTGGTTTCCTGTGCAAATAGTTATTGTTTATCGAGGATTTTTGGCTTTGGTTTGCTTGACTTGGATTGCCTATGCTGCAGCAACATCACCCATAAACGTGAAAACCTTCTTTTACCTGACCAACTGGACCTATACTACTATAACTACATACTTTATCCTGTCCACAACACTCACCATTCTGCACTATACTCAAGGAACAAAGAAACACCAGCATCACCGCTTGATAAACCAACCTGAGTTATATAGTCAAAGAGAAAAGGAACAAGATACAGACGATGAAGTAAGCGACGAGGAAAATAACCTAAAATGGTACCATCGTTTTGTGTGGATTCTCTTAAACATTTCCTCAAACATGTCTCTTTGCATTGTGTCACCATTTGTTTTTGGACTTTAATCTACAACGGAAAGACAATTCATACCTCGGATATCTTTATTCATATTTTGAACTCAATATCCATGGTTCTTGAGGTCGTTCTCAGCTCAGTTCCTCTACGTGTTCTTCATCTAATTTATCCATTCATTTTTGGCTTTGTTTATAYACTAGCAACGGTGTTATTCTGGCTGTTTATTGACAAAACTCATTTATATGTTGTATTAGACTATTCTCATAAACCAGGTCTAGCTGCTGGAGTTTTACTTGGTTCTCACTTTATTCTATTGCCCTTAGTTCAGATATTCCTCTATGCATTGCACCGAATAAGGAATCAACTCTCAGAGAAATACTCTGAAAGTACTGATTGAAAATGGTGCGAATAAGTCCCGGTAAAAAATAATAATAATAAATAAAATGTATTAAGAATGTATTTTCTCGTGTGTTTAGGAGATGCCTGAAGAATTAGCAAACAAATATAAATATGGCCTGTAATAAAGAATATTATTAGTAAGAAACGGAAAAATGTTAAATAATTTCTTATCAGCGGAGTAACGTTGTCAGGGTGAGCCATGAAAGACTATTTGTGGTTCTCTCCTCTCCTCTCCTCTCCTCTCCTCTCCTCTCCTCTCCTCTTCGAACTTGGACGCTTTCCTTTGATAACATTTTTTGATAAACTTTCTTTAAAATACTTTAATCATCTTTTATGTTTACCTGATAATTCTCTATCAAAACAAGCTTTACTTATTTCCCAGTCTTTACATGTAGAAAACAAATCTTGCTATTATACAAACCTTTTACAAATGTTATCTTTTTATAACATAGAAAATGAACTTACCGATGTCATCTCTAATTCTAATTTGGAGAAGTATTATGTAAAAATGCAGGAACTTTACTTCAATCATTGGAAAAAACTCGTAAACAATTCAAGAAAA